TGTGCAGTCGGTCTTCGATGGCGAAGCGGCTCAGGGCATTTTCATGGCGCCACGGCACCCTAGCTGATTCCGCTCGTTGTGGCCAAGCTCTGCGGCTCCCAAGAACACGCACACGACTGAAAAGGAACTCTTACAAGTGGTTGAAAACATCAACAGATCGTGCCTGTGAAACCCGAAGATCCTCTGCAAGCCCAGGTCCCGGGATAGCATTTCAGGCAAGATGCTGTTCGTCTCGCTGTCCCAAAGTGGGTAGCAATAGTGATCGTCCTGAACTGTCAAAACAATGCGTAACGGAGACGCCTGAATTCCCCCCTTCTTGGAAGGCCTGCAGTCTGCATTGTTGTAGGTTCGTCGTGATGATCGGAGCGACAGCAACGTGGCTACTCGGCTCGACCATGCCTGTTCTACGTCTACATAATCATGTCATTCTCAGCCAAGTGGCTGCAAAGGGGTCGTAGCATCGCTGGGAGTTCGTACCGCACAGACAGGGGTTGGCTCGCTTCTCGCAGACTTCCCGAACTTCCAGTGGATTGCCGCGCTTGTCGTAGTCCTTGTATGGACCGGTGCACATGGCAGGCATGAGTGTATCTGGCATATGGTGGCCAAACATGAGTCAGAAAGGCCTCAAGAACCTCTCAGGCAGGTCAAGAGAGCTTTCGCAGATGCAGACAAGATCAGACAAGCATCCAAGATGAAGCACTTCTTCTCATCTGACGCACAGGTCACAGGGCACGTAACCGTGTTCGGCTCGCAGAACTCCTCCTGCTGCCTGCAGCTTTGCAAACCCCCAAGAGTCCCAAACATTTCGCGTTCTGTAGGAACAATCTGAGGCGGAAGCCCGAATTCATCCTCAGCTGGTGCTGAAGGCTGGGGTCATGAACGGAACGGTGCTCGCAGAATGACAGCGAAAAGAAGGCCAAAACATGAGACGGACGAAACGTGCCTACTATTTGCTTCACACTGCAAAGGACCTGCGCTGCATTGGGCAGCAGCAGCAACACGACACGATGCTACAGCCCAGAAACACTTGCAGCTTCTGCAAGTGTCAAAGCTGTTATTGCACGACAGAGTTGGCATCATGCAGTGAGAGTGTTTTCAAGTTCTGATCCCACAGGTGGCGGCCGGTGCGAGACCGAGATTCGCCTCGAGGCCTGAGTTGATGCTTTCTGGAAAGCTTGAGCCTCTCGGACCGCCTGAAGTTTAATTGCTCTGGTCCTGATGAGGCCTTCATGAAGCGGCGATGCAAAATGCCTTCATGACCAGGTCCTCCAACCCCGGTGTGCGTCGTAAAAAGGACGATCTCCAGCACCGAGTCTTCCTGCCTCCCGCAGCTTTCACTCCGGTCTTCATTTGGTGAAGGGACATTGCTCAGCGAAGAGCTGAACCTGACCGATGCTCTGTACGTACCATTCGGTATCCATTTGCTCTGCTACGCTATGGTGCCGGTCGAGCATTTGAAAGCCTCTCTTCGGTGGCGGCGTCGAGACTACATGAGACTACCTCTCTTCGAAGGCTGCCTGTTTGCAGTTTGGTCGCTCCCTCTGGTTGTCAAAAGCTTTCGCAGTTTCCCGTCGTGACATGCCACGCCACCACCAGCTGCTTAATCCCATGACTACAGCGACTTTCAGCTGTGTGGATAATGCGTCATCTAATGCGTCAGCTTGAAACTGAGCCCAAGCATCCACCCATCTGCACATCTGAGCATTTGCGCCGCAGGGGCACGACCTGACTTGCAATCAGCAAGACATGCTAATGACTGCTAGTCATATCGATCTTGTTTCGCAAAGGAATGACCCGGGGCCTGAAATGCCACCACTGCGTCCCTTTTGCAGCTGAGTCACTTTGACACATTTGCACAGCTCTCCACAACCGGTGCATTCCAATCAGGTTGGCCTCGCACCATGCAGGCAGTGACTGGGGAACTACAGCGGTACTGACGCGATTCCGTCAGTTCAGGGGCATGCTCCGAAGAGTCGCACGTGCCATCGCCCAGGCCTTCTGGAGTGTAGGAAAACGGATAGCACATCTTCTCTCGGATTGGGTGGCAGTAGACGGGACACCCGATCGACGCCTCGGAGACGGGAACCCCGGACTGAAGCTTAGTCCCTGTGGACCTTATTGGACCCAGCGTCGGCTTCACAGTATGGCTCGTAGTCGGCTTCGTAGGGGTCTGTGCACTGCGTCGCACCGACTCCGCAAGGGCACGGCTCTGACTTGGGTGCACCTGACCAGCGGCTTCCTGCTCTGCTTTTCAAGCTGCAAAACACCGGCTTTTTAGTTCTTGGAGCTGCGAGACTTCCTTTGGCAGCCGTGTTACATTGCTCCACGAAGCCGGTCATTCCTCCATTGCCGTCGAAGTTTACCTCGGCGGCCGTCAAGCCCACTGCGACAATTATACGATATTTGGTCGAAAGTGAAGCTGTCGCCAGGGCACAACCCAGCAGTACTTCTGCTCGTCAGTGCAGTAAACCGGGCACGATTCAGTCTTGGGAGCGCAATGAAAGCTGTCTTCACCGTCTTGGCACCTGTCGCATTTCATGCCGCTTGTGCATCCTTCTTTGGAAACTGGAGGCACTGCACTGCAAAACTAGCTAAGTCGCGCGGGCACTTCGCGAGACAAGACTACTTCATGCACGCTGACGCAGCATCAATGGGCTCTGGCAGGCCACTAGCTTCTCACTTGAACAGTTGATTCCTGCTCCTCAAAGCGGCCTCTGCGCTGTTGCATTATCGCAGACGACCGGACAATCTTCGCCCTCGTAGCAATACTCGCTGCCGCTTGCCCACTGCCTCAGCAGATGCGAAGCACATGTCAGACGCTAGCGGCTAGCGGCGAACGCCCTGCGTCCAGCCCGTCCGCCGAGTTCCTGTTTCCTGCGGCATGCGTTCGTTGTAATCAGTTGTTCCACCTTGCGTGCTTTTTGCTGATGTGCACAATCTTGTCCACGGTCATATCCTTAATGATAGTCCCCCTTCGTTATTCTTCGACTCTTCCCTCCTTCCCCGTGCTTCAATCCCGCATTCCTTCCTTGCTCCCTCCTCGCTCCCTCACATCCTCCTTCTTAAAGAGTAACGACGCTTGCGAGGAGCCGCACCACGCTTGTTTTGACAGATGGCTGGAGCTGCCTCAATTCGCTTGGCGGGTCTCTTGGCTTGTGTAGTCATGTGTAGGCCTCTGGGATCGCGAGCTGCCTCAATTCGAGGCGATCTCTTGGCGGGTCTCTTGGCTTGTGTAGTCATGTGTAGGCCTCTGGGACCGCTTGTGGCCCTCTCTCTCCCCCACCCTCTTCACAGCTGTCTGCTGTCTGCTCTACGCGCAGGAGCGATACAAGTAGCTACCCATTGCTACATTGCATTACAGTACATGCCTTGACATGAATGTGACATCGTCGGAAACAGACATGGCAGAACAGACTCTCTTATGGTTTGCCTGCACGCTTGACCCTTTGTGTCAGGCAGGTCGCCAGGCGCCGTTCGCATCGAAAGCATCAATGCCACAGTAGATCTCATCGGCCGTGCAGCGCAACGGACACTGCCCGTCTGCATACCACTCCTCGATTGGATGACAGGCTTCATCATGGATGCACTAGGATGCACTAGTCACTAGGTCTACGACTCTTCCAGGGACCCGAAAAAATACCTCTGCAACACTGCTATAAACTCTGCTTCGGCCGCGCAACGCTCGGCTCACACTCGTAGAGGTTCGTCTCCTGCGCACGGCACAGCGTGGGACGTGTGGAACACGAAAACCTACATACTTACTGGAGTCCAGAGTTTACAAGGGCTAAGCTGTGAAATAGAATCTCAACTGAGCCAGCCCGGTCCGTGTTCAGGCATCTAAGCTCGTCAGTCTCGCAGTTGCAGCCCGACGGCGTGGCGCAGCTCTTGTTGCGGACTGGCCGGGTTTCGAGGCTTTGGCTCGGGTTCGAAACTGCAGCCACCTGAATCTCAAGCCGGCACACCCGAGCCGTAGGAGTCGTAGTGGTAGCAGATGCCCAAGTCTCCACAGTCCAGAGGACCTGGAACGAGTATCTACACAGCTCTCTGCAAGGCTTGAAAGCTTCTTCGATGCACACGGATGTCCGACTGATGCTGCAGCTACACGCATGCCCCTAAAATCTGCATGTGCATCTTCGGAACCAAAATTCTGATGCACCGCTTGGGCCCTAGGCCTGTCAGACAAGACACATTGCTCAGACACGGGGATGCAGAACTTGTCCCCTTCGAAAGTGCACGATCGCTCCCAGCGTGTGTTGCAGGGGCAACCTGCAACAGTTCTCGAAAAAAACTCAAGACTCAAGCCCCTCCTTTACTCGACTGTAGCAGTTGCTGGTGCAGCTGGGCCCACCGTCCGTCCGGTCGGCGCAGACCTCCGTCCATTGCCCATCGTAGTCCAGCATGCCTGCGTCCTTGGCAAGTCTAAGTAGACACGATCTGTCTGATTTGACTGGTTGGACCAGTTCTGACCAGTTAGAGAAGACTCAAAAGATTCTAGGGCAGACTGCACGTGCGTCTTCTAGGCAACATCTCAAGCGTCCACACATGTAGGCGGGGATGGGGTCTTGAGCCACGTTGCATCGTAGGGTGTCACCCAGCAGGTAATCCTCAGCAGTCGCTCTCTCTTGCAATCTCTTGGAAGCCCCGAGCAAAGGGCAGCAATTGCAGTTCCAGCTGCTCATCTTCCGTACAATGCCTTGGACTGACGGGAACAGCCGGAGGAAAAAGGCTTATAGGCTGACCCAGACGCGCCAAGGCACACAGGGCAGCTTCCGTACACCTTGCTCTGGCACCAGCTTCCCACAAGGTCCTGGCCTCAGAAGAGCGATAAAAAGCCAGTAACCCTCGGCTGGGGCCTGACCGGCCCGCCAGTGCTCACCGGGCTCCCTGCAGAGCTCCTCGTAGGTTGGATCACATGGGCAGGGCCTCCCGAGGCTTCGCGCGTGCCGACTCTGGAGACGCCCTTGCCATCTCAGGCGCGGACTGGTCTGCTGGCTGGCAGGACTGGTTGAAGGGCAGCTCGAAGTTTGGGTAGCCTACACAGCTTAGGTCAAGATTAGACCGGCCACATGCGGCGAGATAGGCTCGGATAGCGAAAACAGACACCGCAGACTTCTGTTTGCACATGAAACAGCCATCAAGGTCATCTTGCAGGGCCGCTTCTGCTGAGCTTCCCACCGTCAGATCCGTACTGGACCTGGTAGCAGTCCTGAAAATCAAGGCATCTTTCACGTCCCTGTTTGCGACGGAGGCTCGTGCTTCTCACATCTGGGCCACTGCTCACCTGCTCGTTGTCCAGGCAGAACAGCGGGCAGTTCTCATCAACTGGCTGGCACCAGCTGTTTCCTCGAGAGCACTCTTGCACCGGCTGAGCGGCTGTGTTTGCGTGTCCACACATGCATCAGAGTCGCCAAATTCAGGGTCGTGGCACTTCCGCTCATGCCTGAGTCGAGTACAGGGAAGAAGCCTTGGCCAGCCTGAGCGCTGCACCTCCTGTGACAAATTCGCCGAAAACTCGGACCAGCGGAGCACGCCAGCTCCCTTGGCTCAGCCCAGCTGCAACGGGTCGCACGGGCAACCGCTGCTCTGCGGGGCGCAGAACTGCTCGTGTTCCTGACCGCTGACAGACGACGAAGACTGGGTGCGATAGATCGGAAGTACGAGGCTGCATTCTTAGATTCTTCGACCTGAGCCCACTGTGCAGACTGTGCGCCTATCTGAGTACCTATCTCGTTCAGAAGATTGGGCTTCTGAGAACTGCGTCACAGCAAATCCAGAACCGTGCCTGCGAGTAGTCCCGCTCTCCGTCCCTGGGCACACGGCCGGTGGAACACCCGTTTGACAGAGCTCGGCAACGGATCCTCCCCTAGCGAGACTATGGGAGAGGCTTTCGGGCCGAAGCCGAGGGGCTCTGTGTACTGCCACCGGAAGCAGTAGACTTCGGTGCCTCGGCCGCTCGCCCGGGACCATTCGCTGCAGACGAAGAGGAAAAATGACTGCCAAGGCTCTGTTGCAGATCACGGGACACTCTCCGGCAGACTTTGGCATGCACCAGCTCGAAAACTGATCCTGCGGGGCGAGTGAGTAGCGGGTAAAACATCAAATCCGCAAGCAAAAGCCTTGCTGCTGGCTTGCAATCTAGAATCTAGCTTTGTTTCGTGAATGTCGGTCCTTGCATGTGTGCTCGTCCTCGTCGCAGGCGGCTTCCTCAACGCCTGGAAGTTTTCGCGAAGCCAGCGCGGCAGACACGAACGATGCAGGCAGCAACGCAAGCTGACGCGCGCAAAGTTCTCACTTGCCACAGAAAGAGTCAAGAGCCGCGAACAGTCAGCTGCAAAGTCTGCCAACGGTATCTCGGACAAGCAGCAGCCATGGTCTCTGCGCTCGCAGAACTTGATTCCGAAACCTCGCACAGGCTGTATTGAGACCGGAAAAAACCAATGGCCTGTATAGAAGCTCCGTTGGGTACTCCGAGTAAGAGCTGGGCAGCAGTCCAAGGCCCCGGCTTTCGCACTCCACCTCCCAGTCCGAGCTGCAGGGACATCCTCACGAAACGAGACCCCCAAGCCCAAGGCTGGTGTCACCAGAGCACCCGAGTGGTGCTGTGCTCAGTTTTAGGCGGCCTTCTGCGTCCGTGCTGCAGGTGGGCTGAGCATTCCAAGTGCGCTCTTCGTCAAGCTCGCCTGCGGCTGGGCTCAAGTCAAGACGAAGGACAGCCAGAGAGCCAGCAATGTGAGAATACAGAGGAGGGAGGGAGAGAAACACAGAGAGCGCGAGAGAGAGAGAGAGAGCGAGTGAGAGAGAGGGGAGAGAGAGAGAGAGAGAGAGAGACAGAGAGTCACAGAGCACAGCGAGCCAGCGAGCCAAGCGAGCCAGCGAGGGAGGGAGGAGGCGAGAGAAACGTAGGGAAGTAGAGGGAGAGCGAGGGGAGGAGCAGGAAATCGAGGGAAACGGAAGTGAGAGAATGACAAGAGCGAAGAAAACATGCCAAGCACGAAGACAGAGGAGCGGCATCACGCCAGGGAGCAAGGAGCGGCACTGAGAAGGCATGCACTGGGTTTAGGAGGTTAAAGGCGAGGGTGAGGCAGTGAGGCTGCAGGAACGTGTGCTTGGACCAAGCAGCCTGTGGAAGTGTAGAAGTTCTCGTAGCAATACCTCGGTGGGCTTAAATCCGATAGGAACTCTCACAACCAGCTGTGCGAAAGCTCCACGAAGGCCAGCCAAGGCTCCGCTCCTCGCAGAAAACGGGCTCGCCTGGTTTCAGCTTCGGGGAATCTACAAAAGTGGGCCACCAAGTGGCCTTCACAATCACCGCCGTCCCATCCGCACCTCGGTGCAGGGATCACTTGCACAGGACTGGTCAAGCGCTTGAGCTGGCATCAAGCGCTTGAGCTGGCATGAGTGACTGGATTCTCTGGGGCTCAAGAAGAAACCAACCTACTCCCCGAAACTCCCACGCGTCGATGCACCACTACCACGACGCTGCAAGCTCACAGAGGCAGTGCAAGCCCTGGCACGCTTCCGTGTTACAGTGGTCATCGCAGATGGAATTGCCAATCATGTTCTGCTCGCAATCGCACACCTCAGCCAGCGCCAGAGATGTTCAGCCATGTCCACCCGGGAGACCTGCGAAAAACCATCAAAGCCTTCTCGCAAGGATTCTCGATATCGGGCACGAGCATCTTGCACAGCTCGAGGGCAACTTCAAAGCCTGTCCCGCGAGCTCGGGGCAAGGCTGTGAGGAGGGCAGGGAGGGCCCAAAGCAGGGCATGTGGGAGGGGATGGGGCGCCTTGTATGCGGTGGCAGCAGTGCTCGTGCTTGAAGCACTCCAACAGACCTGGCGGCTGCTCAGACCGGCCACTGAAGCTGAAGAGGCCCAGAAGAGGCCCAGAAGAGCCCTCTTTTCGGCTCAGATTGGAGCAACCAACAGACTCTCAACAGCTTATTTACAGCCCGCTTTCAGAGGCTCGCCGCGGCTCGGCTTCCTTCTGGTCTCGGCCCATCCTCCGACCAGGAAAACGAGGAGAGCGCGTCACTGATTTACTGCTGCTAGTCAGATGGGGATGATGAGGATGATGATGATGGTGGTGGTGGTGATGGTGGTGGTGGTGATGGTGGTGGTGCTGGTGCTGGTGCTGGTGCTGGTGCTGGTGCTGGTGATGATGGTGATGGTGATG